TGCCTCCGGACGTTGCCTTGTTGAACAGGGTTGTTTTGGCTATCCTGGGTCTTCTGAAAAATGATAGTATCGAGAAAACCTACCTTATCATATGTCTGAGGGGCTCAGAATAGATGATATGTGAATTTATATAGAAATGTGGATAAAATACTAAAACTATTAGTTAATATTTTCCTCAACAGAATTATAGCTATATACATCTTAGACTACATTCCTGAATAAACTTGTAGAACAGGATATTAAATAAGAATTCTTACAAGTGGAAAGGGCGTATGTGTGTCCAGGCATATATTTGCGATTGGGTATGCTTATATATACATATGTATACATGCATATGTTTGTGTTTTTGTAAAGTTAGTATATTTCGACTACACATATTCATTCCAGAAAATGTCTAGGCTGCATTGCTGAGTTGTTTAAGATCACAATCCCTGGGAAGATTTCACTTGATTTTCTGAGGCTCTCACATGCACCATGTACAATTTGAAAGATCATGTGACTCAATATAACTTGGATTCAAATATAAACTTGAGTTCAACATTCTTTCCAGCTCTGTGATATGACTTATTCATTGTGACCCTAAATACAATCTATTTCTTTCTGGGTGCTTTTTTGGAATATTATTTTAACTACACAAAGATGTGCTACATTTGTTAATGCTGCAGAATATCACTTTAAAGTAAAGGTGTGCCACTTTTGTTTAATTATGTAAAGATGTGTTGCATATGTTTCACCTTTCCTGCCTAAGGCACCTTATTGGTCTAATAAAGAGCTGAACAGTCAGTAGCTAGGTAGAAAAGGGATAGGTGAGGCTGAAATGTGGGAAGAATAAAATAGGAGAAATATAGGTTTGAAGAGGAGGAAAGAGAGAAGAAAGAGGAGGGGAGAATGAGGGAGACACCAGGGGCCAGAAGCCAGGCAGCCATCAGATAGCCAGACATAGAGACAGCAAGTAAGAAAAGGTAAAAAGTCTGGAGGCAAAAGGTAGATTAAAAAGAAACAGGTTATCTATTGAGCCTTGGGCAGTAGATCAGTACTCATCCCGAGTATACACATGGACTTTGGACTCCCATCCAACAATGTGAGATGCACTCTCACCCTGAACTCTTGGGGGACGGTCTAGGCCCTGCCCTGGATGAAATGACAGACTATGGACACCCCCATGGAGGGCCTCACCCTCCCTGGGGAAATGAGGGGATAATGGGGAGGTTGGGGGCAGGGCACGGGAGGAGGGGAGGGAAAGGGAGAGGGACCTGGAACTGACTTGTGAAGCAACCTTGTTTCTAATCTAAATTTAAACTGAAAAATAAATAAATTAAAAAAAAAGAAGAAAAAAGAAACAGGTTAATTTAAGTTAAAAGAGCTAGTCAGAAATGTGCCTAGTTTAGGCTGAGCATTCAAAACTAGTAATAAGTCATGATTTGGGAGCTGGTTGGTGGCCCAAAAGAAAAATCCTGGTACATTCGGTGTTCTGTATTGGGCACCAGATGAAGCATTTATTTAATTATTCTTTATCAATAAAAAGTCAGATATCAGGGTAAGGACCTCAATGATGAGAGAAGCATCAGAGAAGCAACCAGTGACCACACCCCTCTCTCTTTTCTTGATCCCAAAAGGTGGAGGCCGTATCTAAGCTCCATCCTACTACTTCCTGTGTTTTTATATGCCCTTAGTACCCCGAAATCTCTATTGTTGATTTTGGTGGGCTGGAAGCTAGTTCCACCTTGTAATTCAAAGCAAACTTTACTGTTAGTCTTGGGAGCATCACAATGCCATTACAATATCATACAACAAGCACATAGTACCAAACTGAAAATCCTTCATCTCCTAAGTTCTTTAATGAGTTTGTGTATCAACATCTGGATAAAAATCCGGAAAGATATGGAAGGATGACTACTGTGCACAGTATGTGAGGAAAACATGGAACTCTTGGATGTTGCAGGGACAGCAGGGAAGGCTGGGCTATTAAATCTAAGCCATTGGCTCAGCTAAATATGTGGTTAAAGCTAGTAGTAGAGGGAGTCTGGTCTATGTGGTAAAAGAGAGGGACACAAAACAAGACTTCAAGACAAAGAGAATGATGCAAAACTAGGTTCCTGAGAAGTTGTGTGAAGAGTTTGGATTTCCGGCCTTCTGTAAGTACCTGACTGTATTACACTAGCACTTTTGTGAATATGATAGTGTTTAAATTTACTGTACTATATATATGGGCATAAATTTATTTTTGTGTCAGTTTTACTTGCCAATAGGAGAAGCAACACATTTTTGTCTTATTTAATATAATAAAATGTTCAAAAGAAAGATAACCTGAATTAGTGGTACTCAAATTGAGATGTGCAGACAGTTTTGCCTTTAGGAGACCTACGTTAGTCTCTATCAGTATATCTGCTCATCACAATGGAAAGATGCTTCCAATACTTGCAAGTAGAGGTCAGTGATATTGTTCAGTGTTCTTCTAGGCATAAAATAGACCCATTCCTAAGAATTTATGAGCCAAAACTTCCATTAAGCCACAACTAAACCTTGTCTTAGAACAGCCACTTACTTTACCGAGAGAAATTGAACATCAAAGAGGCCATTGATGTGTACCAAATCTCACTGAGCAAACAGGAGAGATAAGTCCTCTGGTGCATTACCATCATGCCATTTAGCCTCTAAGAGCTAGCATTCTATATGGAAGTGCTGGAAAATAAATATCCAAGTGAACACACTAGATTTTAGATACAGTACATAATTGCATACATCTTTAAAATATACTATGGCTAATATTAAGATAACCAGGCAAGGAGGAGAACAGAGAATTTAACTATATATTATATATTTAGTTATAATATCAAAACCTATTTTTGTATTTGATCAAATAACGGTCTGATGTAGTGGATCCTCATGCATGTCACAACTGCCTGGAGGCTATAAGAACATATATTGCTAGAACCTACCTAGAGAAGTTCTACTCAGTATGTTTACAGGTGAGGCCTAAACATCTGTATCCCTACATGTTCCATGGAGACGCTGATGTTGCCAGCCAGACCACTGAGACTCACTGACCTAGCATTCGATGGAGAAATGGCAAATGCTGCCCAAAAAGCATAAGTATTTAAAACTCGAATCCTACCCCTCATGTAATACTGATTTAACATAGAGAGACTAGTGTTAATTTACACAGAAGAATATAATCATATAAATGGCAGGACCAAAATCAATTTAGACTTAATTTAATTCAAATTCCAAAACATCTAAAAAGAAAGAAATCATTGTGTGTTTAAGCTCTTACACAGAACAAAAAATAATTCCTTTTTAAATAACCAATGGAGACAACATTAAAGCAAAACCAAATTCAGTTTGAGGATGACAGTGACACTTGAAATATGTGTATATATACATATACATACATTTGTGTTCCAGATATATGGATATGATTATATATGTATTCCTTATTTTTAACATTTTATTTCTACTCCCAAGTAACCTCGATTAGATGGCTCCTATGCCAAACTGCATCTATTGACATTGGTAATATAAAATGAGGCCTTTAGGGAGCCATATCTGTCTCTTCAAATGAATGTGTACATCTTCAATCAATTGAATACAGCACAAATGCAGCCTATTTCTACCATAAGTGATCAGCACACCCTTGTTAATCATGGTTAGCAGTGTGAAAATGACACCCAGGGAAATTAATTTCTGTAACATTCATTTTCGTTCTTTTAATTCAACAATGCATAGTATTTTGGACAGTTTTCAACAGTCTACACAGAGAACATGCTGTAGTTAGCCTGCCTTACAACAGCACTCACTTGGAGACACCTAAGCAAAGATGAGTCAACTTTCCACTCAGTTTACAGAGCCGTTATTTCCTTGGCTCCCACCATGAAGTCCAAATCACAGAATATTGCTTGTCAAGGACACTTCGGAAGGCAAACGCTCAAATGTGCTGCACTTACTTCCAACTTTTAAAGTCCACCTATCTCATAAAAGGAGATGCACTTTGTTTTGTCATCATCTCTGGTTTAACTGTCTGAAAATTCCGTGCCAATTTCACAGTGCTGCGGCAATCTCTCTCTGCTACTTGTTCTGCATTTTCTGCAGCATGCAGTCTGGGGCTGCTGTTTTAACTACTTCCTGCAGCAGGACACACTCTGAGAGAGAATCTGAAACACAATCAGTACTATTCTGTTTTCACTCATATTCTTAGATGAATAACTGTTCACATCAAACCAGGGCTCGTCCCTCAAGATCCCCTAAGCATAGCCCCTTCTGATCCAGTGCAGTTAACCCAGCTTCATTCAGTGCTAGTATCAAATGACACACTGCTGCAAGATTCATCTTAAGACTAAGTAGGTAGGATTTATTATCTGCGGAAGTCTCCTAAGCACCAGGTTACTCAAGCTCCAGGCTTGTCACAAACAGACTCGACAGAAGACAAGTGCGGCAGACATAGAGCTCATTTCCAAGACAAGCCGATTCAGAGTTAGAGACAAGGGCAACACGGCAGCCAAGACCTGCAGTAAATCTCTTTGAGCTCATAGAAATATCTAACAATGCTCTCCTGCAATGCCCCAGAATAAACAGCTCATATTCGGTTTAAACATCAAATCAACACCATAGAAAATTTGCTTGATTAGCATATTTCAATTTATGATGTTTTACTCGTGACTTAACGCTAGGATCAGTGCAAGACTTGCAGTGCTTTTCAAGCAAGCTGACAGAACTGAAGCCTCTTAATAATGCCTACCTTCACCTCTCAGTCTGACTGACGGGAACCTGCCAGGACCAAAGAATAAAAAAAAATCACCGAAATCATGCAAAAAAAATATTTACCCCAAAAGATGTATGTAGTTAAAGCTCAGCTTCCTGTAGCCTCCATAGCCCCTGAAGTGTTAATCTGAAGAAACAGTTCCATGAGTTTCCACAGGCCAGTAGTGAGTCTCCTACACTTGACCTAGACAGACTTACATAACGAAGCATCAGTGCTGGGGAGCTTGTACGATGTCATCACCAGCAAGAATAAGGAGTATTGGCAGCAGCAAGCAGGCAGGCAGGCTGAGATTTTGCATGGGAATCATGAACCCTGTCTTGCTTTTCTTTTCTGAAATGTTTTGGAAGGAGAGTTATGAATAGGTCTCATTTTGTGGGTGGGAAAAACAATAGCCAGAGGCATGAAAGCTAAACCTTCCAGCAAGTGTGAGGTACCTCTCTTGGAGTGTGCAGTCAACCCGAGAGGAGGAATTTTACCTTCTGCGAACTTCTGAACCATCACATCTGGAGTGAAAGGGACGGCAAAGCAGTGTGATACCGTAGACGATGCTGCTGAGCGCTTTGGTCTGCCTTTAACTCATTGTGGTGAGTAAAGAGGGATACGGAGATCTGAAATGAGGGTTGGTGATGTAGGTTGCTTTGCAGAGTAATAACCAAAGGCTTTGTAAAGTGCTCTCATCCTTTAAACACATTTTTGTAACCAAATAGTAGAATTACTCTTCTAGATCAAATTGTGACTGCACTGGGTTAAACTGTTCAGTCAATTGCAATTGCTGATGTTCACCCAAGAACAGGTACACACCTCTGTGGTTTGTAGACAAATGTCAGATAGCAAAATTAATTTTACTGTCTATACTAGAAAACAGGTTATGAATTTTCTCATCAGATTTTGTATATAGCAAATCATTTTTTTACACGTTGAAAGCAATTTCTATGAATGCATCAAGGGAATTCTTGTTTTATTTTATCTTTTTGGTTCTTAATCTTTGCTAGACTCACTTCTTGATCCCTGAGGGGATATTTTAAACAGCAGATTAAAGAAATACATGCACTACCTAATTACCAATCAGTTATCTCAAGTGTATGTAATGCAAGTTACATCTTTAAGACCTACAAACAGTAAATTCGGTCTTCCATCTTGAGTCTGAATATGGTGACATCATATTAGCATCCGATGACATCATATAATATTTAATTATATGTGAAATCATGGTTTTGCATGGAATGTAGACTAAGCTGTATAGTTTCTGAAATAGAGAAGCAGCCATGCACTATTTAAAAAAAGCCACAGCGTTCTGTTCTTAGCTAGGAGTTTGCTGCTAATTTACCACATTGAGACTGGGGTGAGGAAATGAGAGAATGTAGGTCTAGGAAAGAACACAGGGATCTAATTCCCCCTGTCTCTTAACGAGTAAGAAAATTGCTACTAAAAGGCATTAGATGTGTCCAAGCTGATGCAGAAGAGGTGAATAGAACATGATTTTTCTCAAATTTCACTACCACAGTACAGTAAATAAATGTTTGTTTGTTGTATACTAGAATATGGGTTGAATTTACAGAGATTTAATTTTTCTTTTCCTCAGATCAACTATAATGTCACCAAATATTTGTTTTTTTGCAGTAGTCTAGATTTTGGGAAAACAAATTCTGTGGTAGATGGAATGAAAAATTTTCTGATCCCCACCTGCACCCCAGAGCAATAAGTAACATGTTGGCATAACATTGAGTTATATTTTCAAAGTCTTAGGTTGTATTCTGAATATTAAGTAACAAAAATGCGTTGGTGAGGATTATGTAATAGGCTTCTCGGTACTTTGAAGTGTTGATTACCATCCGGGGAATAAACAACATAGGAAGCAAAGATCTGCAAAACACATGCCATTTTAGAAAGTTCTGTCTTACACCTTTGGAAAAATGCTAAACCTCTTGTAGTCAGAGACTGTGATTTTCACTGTCATGTCTCTGCTTACTGGACCTCATTGAATATTTGCTGGATGAATAAATAGTGGGATGAATTGGGTTCACAGTGTTTTAATGTACATGGAGCTGCATCTACTATGGTTTGGTAGGATTCTCTGGAGAATAATTTTGAGTTCTCTATAAAATTATTCTTCAATATGTCAATTTAATACTTGCCTATGCAAATGAATGCTTCTGTAATACTTGTTTTGCAACTGTTCTTGCAATATTTAAAGGAAAGTTTTTACTAGATGGGAACAGAGTAAGTTTGGCCACACATCAGATATAACATGGTATTCACCCGCTTAATCAAAGGAGCTATGGTTTTCCACAGTGATGCAATCATCTGGAGGGAGGACTACAGGATCAGTTCAGCAAACCCCTAATCCTTACTAGCCTGAGCCTAGTTTTCTTCCTCTGGACCATTTTCAGCCCGTGGCTTTCATCTTCCTGTTTGTTCTGGTTTGGTTTTTGTGGTGCTTGGCGTCAAACTCAGCTGTGTATGTGTTAAAGAACCGTGTACCAAAAGAGCTAGATTCTGGATTTTCACCCTCATGTTTGTTGCCTCATGGCCTCAGTGTGTCTGCTTCGACACTGGCACCTTGCCTAAAATGTAGATAAAAAGAAATGGGAAACACTAGGTAGTAGGTACCAACAGTTCAACTGTTTCTTTAAGAACATTTGCAGAGGACCATCTTTAGACTGACTTACATCTCCTGGTGCTTACCTGTGAAAAATGCCTTCTACAGGAGTGTCCAGAATAACTGGTTTTTGCAATGCCATTGCCACTTTCCAGTAAACCTTGGGTTATGTTTTTAAGGCCAATGTGGTGTTCTTCCAAATATTAGTTACTGTGACCAGGCACCTGACAAGAAGGAACTTCTGGAGTTAACTTCAGTTTACAATCAGAGGGACAGTCTTTCACTACAAGGAGTGAAATTCAGGTGGCTGGTCACATGATGTCCCAAGTCAGGAAGTGAAGTGTGATAACTATCCCTGCTCAACTAGATTTCCTTTGTTCAGACAGGACCCCAGCCCATGGACGCACCCACATTTAGGGTGGGCCTTCCCATTTAGTTAGCCCAATCCCTGACAGGTACAAATCTAGCTATCTGTCTTCCTGGTGACGCTAGTGACTGTGTCAAGTTGATGATCAAGGTAAACTAGCACACTCCCCTACACATTCTACTTACCTTATAGTTTTGATTAACGGTAAAATTGTAACATATTTAGCATGGCTAGGCAGTTGACAAAACGTAAGATTTTATTTTTTAATTGTGTGCATGTGTATGGTGGTGGGTAGACATCCATGTGAATACAGGTGACCACTGAGGCAGAAGATGTCCGACTTCCTAGAATTGGGCTTATAGGTATTTTGTTGTTATTAAAGCATTTTAAATGCCATATTCTATAGGTCTTTGAAGTGTTTGATGATTGTCTATCTAAAATATAGCTCTATATGACCTTGAAAATGTACCTAACATGACTATAAGTTTAATAGTTATGTATGACTATTAGCCTGTATTTCTTTATTATCCTATATAGCATAAGTACAATACCTTAAACAAGAATAGAAGCGTATATACAGCATAGCAAAAATAGCCTTAAATTTGTGTCAGTATACAATATCAATGTGAATATTTTAGATCAGTGGTTGTTCAAAAATCTACCCTTTTATCCCATCATTTTTATACTATAATCTCCCTTTTCCTTTCAGAAAGAGACCCCTGAATATAATCTCCTTTGTTTAGTTTTTCTCTCTGACCATAGCCAGTAATAATTTGTAACCAATTACCCATCCTAAATGATGACAAACATCCTTAACTCATCAGTCAACCAAAACCCACTCACTCTACCTCTTGGAAATGTAGGCATCATGTTCTCTAGACTGTTTCCTGTTGTCTGGGGTCACTAGTATCTTAAGGGGAGAAACTATCACATTGAAGTTAGACAAGCAAACAAACAGAAGGAAAACAGTTTAAGAGAAGGCATAAAAACACAGGTCCAACCTCTTGCACACTCAGGAATCCCATAGAAGTACAGCGGTGGAAGCCATGACATATAATCAGACATTTCTCTCCTGACCACCTGGTCCCAAATACCTGGCAGCCACTACCCAAGTTATCACACAGAGGCATTTATTGACTACAAATGTTCAGTCAATAGCTGAGGCTTGTTACTAAGTAGCTCTTACAACTTAAATTAACCCATGTTTCTATTTATGCTTTGCCACATGGCTTGCTGCCTTTTTTGTTTGGCATGTCCATCTTGCTGTCTCTGTACTTGCTGGTAACTCCTGACTCCACCCTTCTCCTCCCTATCATTCTTAGATTGGTTGCCCCACCTTTGCTTCCTGACTGGCTACTGACAAGCAGCATTTTATTAAACAAATTTGCGTGACAAATCTTTACAGTGTGTAAGAGGATTATTCCATAGCAATAATATATACACAAAGGACCTGGTGCAGAACTGTGTAGGCCCTGCACTTCTGCTTTTCTGCTTCATTCTCTGTGGGTTCATATGTGCTTTGAACCTGTCGATTTAGAGGGCCTTGTGTTCTTGGTGTCCTACATCCTCTCTGGCTCTTATATTCTTTCTTCCTTCTCTTCCAACTGTTCACCTTTTTATATCAGAGAAAAACAAAAGATGGTGAGAATATTGGGCAGTGACTAAGAAGAGTTAGTCATAACATGTTGAATGTATTTAATTCTTTACCAACCCCTCATTTATCTGTCTTTCAGAAACCTGGGTTATTACCACCAATCTGACATTTGTAAAACCCTTACTAATTTGATCCCATGTCTCCATGAGATCAGAGTCCAGATGGCATATTTTATGGAACTCTATGTTTTTCTCTGTCTTGTCAGCTGGTAGTATTCTACTAACCTGTTATAGAGTTACATGGATCTGAGGTGAAAATGTGTGTGGAGATTACTTAATTCCTCTAGAAAATACTGCACAGAATCTGGGAGAGCTCAGCCCCCAAGTTGGAATTTTGATCCGTGGGGTTATGATCGTGACATGGTGATGAAATTTTTGACATTATTGTGAGCAACAATTAGTCCCAAGATGCCTTTTATTGCAGGCATGACAATCTTAGAAGTGATTTTCCAACTAGATGAACAGCTGCAAATATCTTCAGATTTGAAAGCATTTCTCTTTCTGCAAGACTGGCAATAAGATTCCAAATGTGAGTAATTTTGCACCTACAAGGAACTATTCTCTCAGCATATTTAATTATGTATGATAAAATCACCTCTAATTTCAGTGGCAATGTACATTACATTTCAAACAATAATAGTACCTAGAAACTGAAGAAACTAGTTATGTTATTGTCCAATGTGTTTAATATGGAAAATAATAAAAAGATGAAAATTTTCTTTTACTAATGTTTTTAAAGAAAACACACTTTGAAAATACATTAAATTATATAATCTTCCTTAAGTGATATAAGCCAATCTTTAAATGTAAGACAACAGTGCATTAATGTGTAATCTTTGAGCCCTAGTAAACGGTGCTTTATATAATAAACGATATTAAAATGCCATGTTAATGAGTGTTCAAAAACATTAAACTATGTAATTTTGTATGTGTATGTCTGTAACGCAAATAATAAAAACCCAGAG